AGTTTACAGATGTGCATCGACTATTGTGCACTGAACAAACAGACAGCACTGACTACAGCGCCAGTACTCATCCTACCGGATCCAGACAGAGACTACGTGGTGGAAGCAGACGCTAGTGACCAAGGAGACGGAGCAGTACTGATGCAGCATCACGAACGCAGTTTGCAGCTCATCGCCTACCTCAGTAAGAAGCTGTTACAGTGGAAGGACTTAGCTGTAAGAAAGGGATCAGGAAAGATTTGGGTACCGAGTTACGCCCCACTACGGCAGATCCTATTGGAGGAATTTCACGACGTACCTTACGCGGGACATTTCGGGAGCAACAAGACGTTAGCAGGGATAGCGAAGTATTACTACTGGCCCGGGATGGCAGCAGACGTGCAGCAGTTCGTCACCTCATGCGACACGTGCCAGCAGATGAAGAGCAGCAAACAGAAAAAAGCAGGGTTACTTCAGCCTCTACCCGTTCCGGAGCGGCCATGGCAGGATCGTTAGCCTCAACTTCATCACAGGACTTCCTTCAACCTCACGGGGACATGATTCCATCCTCGTGGTCATCGATAAGTTCTCCAAAATGGGTCACTTCATACCGACCAACGCCACTGCCACAGCTGAAGCAACTGCTCGCCTCTTCTTTGACCGCATCATCACCATCCACGGCATCCCCGCTACACTCATCTCAGACAAAGACCCCAAATTCACGAGTAAGTTTTGAAAGGAGCTCATGGGATTATTGGGGACCAAACTTGCGATGTCCTCAGCATACCACCCATAGACTGACGGACAGACAGAGCGACTCAATCAAGTGGTTGAACAGTTACTGCGCACAGCTTGCAAGGACGACGTCAGCCACTGGGACACACAGTTACGGACCCTAGAGTTCGCTTACAACAACGCATCACACGCGGCCACAGGGAAAACTCCTTTCTTCCTATGTTACGGACGGGAACCACTCACACCATAGCAGCCAACTACACCGGCACACGTCCAAGCCGCACACGACTTCGTCACCACCATGCAGCAGCTATGGGAGAAGACTCAGCGACGCCTCACCACGATGCAGAACTCCCAGAAGTAGTATGCCGATCGCTAGCAACGTGATCACACCATAGCAGTCGAAGATCAGGTGCTTTTGGACACACGCACCTTGGACTTGTCTCACCTACCGTCCAAGCTCCGGCCTCGCTTCGGTGGTCCTTTTCACGTTGAGGCACAGGTGACACCAGTTACATTCCGCTTGCGCTTACCAGATACGTGGAAGCTTCACAATGATTTCCATGTGCAGCTACTGAAACCCTACAAGGATCCCAACCAGCAATTCCAGGGACAGCAGCTACCGCCACCTCCTCCTGTTCTTGTGCAGGATGAACCCGAGTACGAGATTGAGTGCGTTCTCTCTCATCGGCGCCGTGGTAGCAAGACCCTCGAGTTCCTGATACGCTGGAAGGGATACGACCCCACTGAGGACAATTGGGTTGCAGAAGCTGATATGGGCAACGCACACCGTGCTCTCAAGGACTATCTTGTCAAATAGGGTGTATCTTACACCACCCAGCTTTGAGGGGGGGACGTGTGAGAGTACGACGGCTTATGCCAGCTGTGCTTGCTTGCCTTTACTTTATCATGCTATTTCTAGCATAGGATAATTATATGCATGCATGAATTGCTTGATTTCCTAGGCTAGATGCTTTCCTATATTTTATTATTGTTATAGCACCGAGCTAGGTTACGTGCACCGAATTCTGGCTTTCGGTTGCCACCGAATTGCCTTCTACCGAATTCCGTAAGGATCTGTTCGGGACGCTACGCGGCCCGCGGAACCTTCGCGTAACACCTGGTTACGGGGCCTTGTGTCGAGCCTATATATAGCCTCGTGTTGTACCCAGGTGATTCATTCAAATACAATTCTCTTTCTTGAGCTCGATCCTAGATCCTCACAGCACATGTCAGCCGTCACACCTCAATCCGCATCTTGCTCTACATCTGCGTCGCCAAGCACCTAGGCCTCCACCAAAAACACATTTCTCAATGCCGTCGTTGACGGTGTCATCTACGTGGAACAGCCTCAAACCTTTGAAGAAGACGCATCCATAGTCTCCCTCCTCAAGAAATTCATCTACGGCATCAAACAGGCCCTCTGCCTATAGCAGCAGTACCTACAAGCCGTGCTCATTTTGCTTGGCATCCAACAACTTCCCCATGACCAATGAATGTATCGTCTCAAATTCCGCAGTCACTTCATTCTCCTCGTCAACGTGGAACATGCGCAGAACTCCTCGATCGCTTTCACAGACACATTCAGGAGAAACTAGACGTCACTATCTCCCACTCGGTGACTCAATTCTTCGAACTCAATATCACTCAGTCCGCTGATCCCATCCAACTCTCTGCTGTGATGTATGTCGAGACGCTCGCAAAGGAGTTCGCCATCACCCCTATTAATCTCTCCACTCAGTTCCGCATAACTTCTTCTGGACACACTTCCGACATTACGCCGCTCTCCGCCACGGACCACTAGCTCTATCTACAGCAACTTGGATGCCTACTGTTCTGATGGAAAGCACGCGAATCTGGAGAGCGTAACAAGAGATTAAGTCCGCCGACTTCGGCGAACCATTGCGTGCAGCTCACGTAACCTAAAACTATGAGCAGGTATGCGTTGGAAAGGTCTTAATCTCTATTTTCTAGAATGGTGAAGCACGCCTTCAACACCAAGATCTAGGCCGATCGCTATCGCGATTTAAGTGCGACGGGGTATCCTGGCGGAATTATTTGGCAGCCATGGATTAGATCTAGGAATGGCTTGAGCAAGAGTTCAGATCTGAAAAGGTGACGAATTGTTCAAACCCTACCAACCCAACCCTCGCCCTACAACAATTCCCAGCAACTCAAAGTGCTAAACTAGCAACACCAAAAGTGTTGTAGTGAATAGCAAAGGTTTGTTGGTGCTTGTTGAGTGCGAGATCAATTCCAGCCCGCAACAAGTCTAACCACCACATTTTGCCCAAACCCTTAGCCCACAACCAGCTAGAGCAAAATACCACAACCACCTACACAATCAACATGTTCGCCGCCATCACGTGCCGCCTGGAACTATCATACATCGCAAGCCAGCTCGCCCAGTACCTGCGTCGAACTAAAGGGGAGAACATGCAAGATCTACATCGGGCACTACAATACTTCGTTTTTCCACCTGACGTCGGACTAACCTACACGGCCAACCTAACTGCTACTCTTCAACTCAGTGGCTACGTTGTCGCCGATTACGCTGGAGACATTGACAACCGACGCTCTTGGAAAGGATTCGTTTTTCAACTTGAACCAGCTGGATTTATCGCCTGGAACTCACAGAAGTAGAAACTCATCGTTCTCTTGTCAACCAAAGTTGTATTCATCAACGCCGGCGCAGCTGTTCACGAAGGTCACGATGGACGGGTCCTTAGAGTTACTCAGTGACAACTAAAGCGCAATCAAAATCGCAAACAATATCGGCTTCGTGAACTGCGCGAAACACATCACTCTCGGTTACTTCTTCGTGAAGGATAAGATTGACAAAGGAAAAGTCAAATTCCATGTCAGAAGTTTCAGTACTGCGCGGATCTATGCGGAGTCATCAAGAAGTCTCACATGGCTCACCTCCAATGAAGGGGAGTGTTGGAATAACTGAAAGGTTAAAGCGACATTCCTGAAGGTGTCGCTATAGCGCAATGTTTCGTAACGAGACTGTGCATATACCACTACCGCATTAGCTGATATAAAGCACACACAAATCGTGATTTGAACAGCTGGAGGTCAGAGGTTGCGACCTACTCCGAAGGTCGCAACCGTCTTCGAAGGTTATACGCTGCACCGTAAAGGATCGCAATGGACACTGCAATTGTAGCGATGAATGTGATACATTTTATAAGGGGATGCACCCCTCATAGTAAATGGCTAGCTAGGACTAAATAAACCTAGTATAATGCTCTGTTTATCATCTTGTTGTTTATAAAGGTTCAGGTGGTTTGAAAAACACATCTTCTAGTATCGCGTGGATACGCACGACAAGTCGGGACAAGTCAAGCACGGGCGTGAATAACATGCAGCCCCTCACCAGCACGCATTACAACACTTCGCATAATTCGCCCACGCGCTAGCTACTCACGCCTTTGTTTGGCGAGGGTGTGGTTACTTCGGAGCTTATTTGCAAAAGACGCAAGGCGCGTCATGCGTCCTGCGTCTGGACGCAGCGTCTAGATGCATGGACGCAGGACGCGCGTCTAGACGTAGGACGCACTGTGGATTTTGTGAAGAATGAGGAATGAATGAACTAGAAAGCAGGTGGGTACAAGTAGGAAACCTAGAGGTGTTGAACCCTATAATGTCTACCCCACTACAGCCTAGACAGACTATAGTATAAGAGTTTGACAGATTTTTTTCGGGCTGACCGAAAATGTCGACCCCCCTAATCCAAATCGACCTTGAAAAACAACCACCGCACCATTTCTAACCCCTCCATGCAAAATTGGAAAGCCCAGCCCTCACAACCACTCTATATCTACATAACCCAACCAATGTGGCCCACCACCAAGCCCATTTAGTGTTGCAACCATCTCATTTGTGCTCCCTCATTTTACCAACCAACCCAATTCTCCGTAGTATACCCTACTTGTTTTAGTTACCAAGCGCACTTCCGTTATGGCTTCCTCCACCAATCCTTCGTCTTCCACCGCATCTAAAGATGATAATGCCGACCGCGATGCTCCCCCCAAGCGGTTCACTAAGGATGGGGTGGAGAAGAAACCGCAAAATCCCACCCGCCTTATTTATAAGCGTTATTGGACCTTCGACGATCCGACTAAAAAGGGGAAGCAAGCGGAGTGCATTTGGTGCGAGAAAACGTTTGCGTATAGTAGCCGGTGCACCCAACATCTTGCCGTATGGAATAACCTGAATGTTTGGCGCGAGGCCGGGATTGTTTGCGCGAAGGTTCTGAAGCGCAAATCTGACAGCATTCGCGGATGAAGGAGTCCAAACTTACAGGGCGCAAGGATAAGGAGAGGGCGACGGATGCGGCGCTCAATGCAGTGACCGGCCAAGGCGGAGCGGGATCGAAGGCTAAGCGCGGGCGGATGGAGGACTGGTATGGCGAGGGGGGAACTCGGTGAAGCGTGCGGTCGCCGATGCAGTCTGCCTCTACATCGCGGGGACGCGCACGCCGGAGAATCGGTGCGAGCACCTCTTCTTTATCAACATGCTGAGCACCGTTAACGCCGCCGGACCCGCCTACGTCCCCCCCACGCGTGGCTACGTTGGAGGCGCCGGGCTGCTGGAGTGCAAGAAACAGATTGAGAAGGGATTGGAGCCCATTACGAAGACTTGGAGGGAGACAGGCGTGACGATCGCCAGCGACATGATGATGGACAAGCGCATATAAACATCATCTGCCTCAACGCCAGTGGTGCGGTTTTCCAAGAGGCGATCGACTGTAAGGCGGAGACAAAGAGGGGCGTTTATCGTTAACATCCTGCAGCCGATCATCGAAAAGGTTGGACCGGAGCACGTCGTCGCGATTTGCACGGTCGGCGGCAGCAACTACGTGTCCGCCGGCAAGATGCTGCAGAAGAAGTACCCGCACATCGAGATCGTCCTCTGCCCCACCCATGTGCTCGACTTGCTGATGGAGGAATTCGGCAAGATGAATTGGGCGCAGGAGGTCGTCACAGTTGCGAACGACATGATCTCGTTCCTACGCATCCACCAGTGGGCGCGTGCCTTCCTGTGGAGTCTCGAGCTGCACGGCGAGGAGAAGTCGCTGCAGCCGCTGCGACCGGCAGGCATGCGCTTTGGGACGCATTACATCGGAGCGTCATGTCTGCGCCAGATTCGCCCACAGCTGATGCAGATGGTGATGCACAAGGACTGGGAGAAGGGGAGGAAGCAACAAACTGGAAAGAACTTCGAGGCATCGGTATTGGATGCGGAGTGGTGGAAGAAGGCGGTTACATTTGTGAAGGTGATGGAGCTTGTCAAACTCATATGTTGCATATGGTGTAGGCTGTAGTGGGGTAGCCCATAAAGGGTACAACCCAATTAGGGTTTCCTACTTGTACTCCTGCATGCTGCTAGTTCATCATTCTCGTTTGCTCCTCTGACATGGTTTCAGAGCAGGTCCTAACATAGGACCGTCTTTTTTTTAGGACCTGACCGAGTCGCGCTACCCGACCGAGTCGCGCCGCTCGGTTAGTGCTGCGCTGCCTTGCCCTGCCCTACGTCGCGCTGCCCACGCACGCCCTGCCCTGCCCTGCCCGCGCGTGCCGATTGCTGCTAACCGCCGCGCGCCCTGCCCTGCTCTGCCCGCGCGCCCCCAGTCCGCTGCACGCCCTGCCCTTCCCGCACGCCGCCCGTCTGTTGCGCGCCCTGCCCTACCCGCGCGTCGCCTGTCGCTGTGCGCCCTGCCCTGCCTGCGCGCAGCCCGCCGACCGCGCGCCCTGCCCTGCCCGCACGCAGCCCGCCGTCGCGCGTCCTGCCTTGCCCACGCGCCGGCCGCCAGCCGCGTGCCCTGCTCTACCGGCGCGCCGCCCGCCAGCCGCACGCCCTGCCTTGCCCACGCGCAGCCAGTCCGCCGCGCGCCCTGCCCTGCCCGCATGCCGCCCGTCCGTTGCGTGCCCTGCCCTGCCCACGCGTCGCCTGTCGCTGTGCGCCCTGCCCTGCCTGCGCGCAGCCCGCCGACCGCGCGCCCTGCCCTGCTCGCACGCAGCCCGCCGTCGCGCGCCCTGCCTTGCCCGTGCGCAGCCCGCCAGCCGCGGCCGCCTACAACCCCGAGCGCCGCCTGCCACAGCTGCGGCCGCCCGCTACGACTAGCGCGCCGCCCACCCTGCTGCCCCGCCGGCCTCCTGCTGCCCCGCGCGCCGCCTGCCACATCCGCGGCAGAGCGCTACGCCCAGCGCGCCGCCCGCCCTGCTGCCCCGCCGGCCGCCTTTTGCCCCGCGCGCCGCCTGCCACTGCTTCGGCCGCCCGCTAGGCCCCGCGCGGCGCTTGCCTACTAAGCCCGCGCGCCACCTCTGCGCCTGCCCCTATTGCGGCCGCCCGCTTCAGCCCAGCGCGCCGCCCTTATTACTGCTGCTTGCCTGCAATCGCTCTGCCCTGCCAGTCCCACGCCAGCAGCTATGGCCACCCTCCGCGTTCTGTTGTTCGATACTGAGGGCTGCCTGATTCAGTTTGAGACCTGGCTCGATGACCTGCAGCTGTTCCTAAGGAGCGATAGCAAGGACAATGTCTCTCTCTTTGACCACACGTCTGGTGCCTCAGTCGCTCCTGCCGCCACAGCTGAGCTTAGCGCCCATTCCAAGTGGCAGACTCGTGATGCTGCTGCTCGCCAAGCCATTTGCAACCACCTGCCGTTAGCCAAACTCACGCATTTTGGCGAGCACAAAACCGCCAAGGCCATGTACGACGCTATAGTTGCTCGATACTCCTCCCCTGCCACTACTGCGCTTAGCCGCCTCATGCTGCCCTACCTATTTCCTGAGCTGTCCAACTTTGCCACAGTTGCCGATCTTATCACCCACCTCCGGACTAGTGACACTCGCCTTCGCGCCGCCCTCCCCAAAGAGTTCTTAGGAAGAACCCGCCGCCGATGTACCGGACCCTGGACTTCATCGTGACCCGTCTCCCTGACCCTCTTCGCTCGGTCAGGGACCACTTTCTCGCTCGCTCTCCCACCGATTTCACTGTCGACCTCCTAGAGGAGAAGCTTCTAGCCGCCGAGACAAGCATAGTCATTGTGGGTGCTGCTCGTGGTGCTCCTCGCACCCCCATCTTTGAGGGGTGCTCTCCCTCTCCCCTCGCCCCCTCCTACACTACTGCCGCCGCTGCAGACTTCCTTGGTGCTGAGTCAGCTGGTGCTGCTTCTGCTCCTACTGGGAGGCGCCGCAACAGCAAGGGCAAGGTAGCCAAGAGTAGCGGAGGTGGCACCGGGGGGGGTGGTGGTGGAGGAGGTGGAGGAGGAGGAGGTGGCGGAGGGAGTGGTAGCGGGAGTGCTCGCGGGATTGGTGGCGTCGGTGTCGGCGGTGGGAGTGGCGGTGGAGGCGGTGGCGGCGGAGGGGGTGGCGGCGGCGGTGGCGGTTGGGGCGGCGGTGGCGGCGGCGGTGGCGGTCGGCGCGGAGGCGCTGCAGCTGGCCAGAGATAGCAGCAGCGTCTCCGTGAGGCTCTTACGCCCCAGCAGCTTCGTGAGTGGCTTGCTTACCGCGAGACGTCTGGGGGTAGTGGTCGCTGCGCGTATGTCATTCGCATAGGTGAACGCGCTGGTCATACATGCGGGAAGTTCCACACCCAGCATCGCTGCTTCTCCCGCCTTGACGACGCCTGGCGTGAGGAGATGGGCGAGGAGGTCGAGTGCCCTCGCTAGCATGAGCTGCTTAGGGCTGGTGTAGACATCTTTGCTCTTGACTATGATGCTATCCTTGCTGCCATGTATGCATTGACTGTTAGTGCTGAGGGAGACTGTTAGTTGTCTGTGCCGTGTGACCCAGGTATAGAGGCTGCTGCCTTAGGTGCGAGCGAGTCTTCTCTCTCAGGTACTGTGCCTGCAGAGGCCTTGCACACCTTCACGCTTGACTCAAGTGCTTCCCGCTGTTTCTTTCGTGACAGTACTGCCCTCACTCCACTCACTTCACTTGTTGCAGTCTCTCTGGCTGACCCCTCATGGGGCCCAGTTCTTGCACGGTCCACCAATGTGCTCCCGTGCCCGGCGATTCCGTCAGGCTCACTGTCGGGCCTCCACCTCCCCTCGTTCTCTACGAACTTGGTGAGCAAAGCCGTTCTCCGGGACCAGTGGGTTGACACCTTTACCCCTTGAGGACAGCGTGTGGCGATCTGTACGTGCTCCCGGACCGGTCGCCACCTGGCCACGTTTACCCGTAGGCCAGGGTCGAGTCTTTACACGCTGACGACTGCGCCTCCTCCGGTAGCTGCCATTGGTCAGGTGTCTGCGATAGGTCAGGTAGCCTCCCCTTGTTTGTGTTGCTCCCTGTCGCACAAGACTCTCCTCTGGCACCACCGTCTGGGTCACCCCTCCTTGCCACGTCTTCGTGGCATGCACCGTCGCCTCCTTGTGTCTGATCTTCCCAGGTCTCTCCCTCCCCTCCCTTCCTCGCCTGCCCCGCCCTGCCTTCCTTGTGTCGAGGGGCGGCAGCACGCTGCTCCTCACTCCTCCTCGTTTCCCTCGACAGAGGCTCCCCTGCAGACCCTCCACATGGACGTGTAAGGCCCAACCCGTGTTTGTGGACAGGGCGGCGAGTGCTACTTTCTGCTGGTTGTCGACGACTACTCGCGTTACACCACGGTCTTCCCCTTGGGCACCAAGGGTGAGGTCCCTGCTGTCTTGATCCCTTGGATCCGAGCAGTTCGCCTCCAGCTCCGCGAGCGGTCCGACACGGACCTCCCTGTCCTGCATCTGCACTCTGACAGAGGTGGTGAGTTCTCCTCCGACCTCTTGCGGGCCGTCTGCCAGGGGGAGGGCATCCTTCAGTCGCTCACGCTTCCGAGCTCACCGCAGCAAAATGGGGTTGCTGAGCGCCGCATTGGCCTGGTCATGGAGATCGCTCGTACCTCCTTGATCCATGGGGCGGCTCCCCATTTTCTATGGCCGTTTGCGGTCCAGTACGCCGCGTAGCAGCTCAACCTCTGGCCCCGTGTCTCCTTGCTGGAGACCTCGCCCACACTGCGTTGGACGGGAGAGGTTGGCGATGCGTCCGTGTTCCAGGTCTGGGGTGCTTGTGCCCTTGTCCGCGATACGTCCGCGGACAAGCTCTCCTCTCGCACCATTCCCTGCGTCTTCCTTGGCTTCCCCCTATGATGCGCCTGGCTGGCAGTTTTACCACCCCACCTCGCGCAGTGTTCCGTCCTCTCAGAACGTCACCTTTGACGAGTCGGTTCCTTTCTACCGTCTCTTCCCCTACCGCACTGCCCCTCTCCCTCCCCCGCCGCTTTTCCTCGCTCCAGGTCCCCCTCCGGTAGACCCCCTCCCCCCTCAGGGTCCTGCTCCTTTAGGTGTGTCTCAGGTAGACTCGCTCCCCTTGGCTGAGCCTGTAGAGGTCACTAGCGACTCAGGTGCTGCTGCGGGTGGTGCTGCTTGGGGTGCTGCGTCTGGGGGTGCTGAGCCTGTGCGTGAGGTGCTCCGGGGTGCGGAGCCTGGGGGTGCTGAGCCTGCAAGTGCGGAGCCTGGGGGTGTTGAGCCTACGAGTACGGAGCCTAGGGGTGCTGAGCCGGGGGGTGCCGGGTCTGGGGGTGATGAGTCTGCTGGCGTACCTCTAGGTCTCATTTCACGACGGGGGCCTCTTTCACCACAGCAGCTACGAGAGTGGCTTACGTGGCGTGCCCGCCTGAGGGGTCGTGCTGCTGGAGCTGGAGGTCCTGCTGCTGGAGGTACTGCTGCTCGAGGTGCTGCGGTTGGAGCTGCTGGAGCTGCTCGTCGTGGAGGTGCTGAGGGTGCTGGTGTTTCTAGTTCTGGAGGTGCTCGTACTAGAGGTACTGGAGCTGCTAGGACTAATGGTGCTGGAGCAGGAGGTGCCGGTTCTGGGGGTGCTGCTGGAGCTGGAGGTGCTGGTTCTAGGGGTGCTGCTGGAGCTGGAGGTGCTGGTTATGGGGGTGCTTCTCTTGGAGGCACTGGAGCTGGAGACCCTGGAGTTGGAGGTGCTAGAGCTGGAGGCGTTGGGGGTGCTACTGGAGCTGGAGCTGCTGGAGGTGCTGGAGCCGCTGGTTCTAGAGGTGCTCATTTTGTAGGTACTGGAGCTGCTGGAGCTGAGGGTGCTACTGGAGCTGGAGGAGCTAGAGCTGTCGGAGCTGGTGGAGCTGGAGGTCCTGGAGCTGCTACAGCTGGTGGTACTGCAGGCGTTGGAGCTGGCGACCCTAGAGCTGGAGGTGCCGGCCCTTGGGGTACTGGTTTTGTCGGGGCTGGTTCCGAAGGCGCTGTGCGGCAGCGACCGTACTTCATTCCCCTGCTTCTGCACGTTCTTGGCCTCCCGCCTTCCACTAGTCCTACTCCTCCCTTCCTGTGTCCACCGCCTGACCAGTCGCAGTCACAGTTACAGCCAGCCGCCCCTCTGCCTGCTCCTTCTCCTTACACTGAGCAGAAAGGAGGTCTTACAGAGCGTCGTGAGCCTGCGTCTCGTCCTGTGTCACCTGTTCGCGCTGTCCGCACTGGTCGTCGTGTTCCACGTGAGCGTCCTCCTCCTGTCCCCGGCACACACCAGATGGCACTTCGTCCTTCCTCTGTTCCATGGCCTCTCCCTCTGCCGTCTCCTCTTGCATCCTCCCTTGCTGACAGTCCGGACCTGGAGTCTGACTTGCTTCGTGCTGCAAGCCCTACTGTCATGCGTCTGCTAGCCACTGTTGTCACTGACCCTTCTTTTAATTCCATTGCTGCGTCTGCCCTAGTTGCTAAGCTTGTTGACTTTGCTGCTGCCTGTCGTCTTGACTACGCCCCTAGTCTTGTTGCTGAGTCTGAGTCTGTCTGTCCTCCGTCCGTCGGGGGTGAGTGTGCTCTTGGCACGGACGTCTTTGAGGATAGGCAGGAGGACTTTGAGTGTTTTGCAGCTGCTGTACCTCATCTCGTGTCCATGCTGATTGCACCTGAGGGAGACCCGGATGCACCAGACATCCCGACCCCGCGCTGTTACGCAGAGGCGATTGAGGGTCCCTACTCCTTTCAGTGGCAGTCAGCCATGGACGCACAGATGGCATCCTGGAAGTCCACAGGCACTTACGTCGATGAGGTTCCCCCTCCTAGGGCGAACATCGTCAGTGGCATGTGGATTTTGAGGGTGAAGCGGCCGCCGGGTTCTCCGCCTGTCTTCAAGGCGCGTTAGATTGCTCGAAGCTTCAGTCAGCCATAGGGAGTTGACTTCTTCCAGACCTACTCCCCGACCCCGAAGATGACCACTCTTAGGGTTCTGCTGCACGTCGCTGCTCAGCGTGACTACGAGATTCACTCTCTTGACTTCAGCACTGCTTTCCTACACGGCAGCCTGCACGAGGAGATCTGGCTGCGCTTCCCACTTGGCTTCACTGGGTCGTTTCCTGCAGGTACCCAGTGGAGCCTCCAGCGGCCAGTCTACGGTCTCCGCCAGGCACCTCGCGAATGGCACGACACAATGAGGACGACGCTTGCGGCTCTTGGTTTTGCTCCTTCGACTGCTGACCCGTCGCTGTTTCTCCGCACCGACACTTCGCTGGCGCCGTTCTACATACTCGTGTACGTCGACGACTTGGTCTTTGCCACTGCTGACACCGAGGGACTCGCCCACGTGAAGTCGGAGCTGCAATAAAGACACACGTGCACAGACCTAGGAGAGCTGCGCAACTATCTTGGCTTGTAGATCACTCAAGACAGAGCACGGCGCACCATTACCCTGAATCGGTCACACATGGTGCAGCAGGTCCTTCAGCGCTTCCGCTTCACATACTCCTCGCCACAGTCCACTCCTCTGCCTACCGGTCACTTGCTCTCAGCTCTGCCTTCGGATGAGTCCGTAGAGCCGAGTGGCCCGTATCCAGAGCTTCTGGGCTGCCTCATGTACGTGATTACCTACACTCGACCTGACCTTGCTTACTCCCTTAGCATCCTGGCACGCTACGTTGCGTCCGGGAGACACCGACCAGAGCACTAGGAGGCCGCTAAGAGGGTATTGCGCTACTTGTGCAGTACATCGGGCATGGGGCTCGTGCTTGGAGGACAGGCTCGAGTTGTCCTCATTGGTCACACAGACACTTCTTGGGTTGAGGACTTGGCTGCGCAGCGGTCGTCTCAGGGTTACACCTTCAGTCTTGGCTCCGGCGTTGTTTCTTGGCGGTCTACCTGCTCGTCTTCTGTTCTCAGTTCCAGTTGTGAGGCTGAGATCTAAGCAGGGGCCATGGCTGCACAGGATTTACGCTGGCTCACCTACCTGCTGACCGACTTGGGCGAGCCGCCTCATTCTCCTCCAATTCTGTACGTCGACAACAAAGCCATGATTGCCTTGTGTCAGGAGCACAGACTGGAGCACAGGCCGAAGCACATCGCACTGCGTTACTTCCTTGCTCGAGAGTTGCAGCAGCGTGGACAGCTTCATCTTGCATACGTGGCCTCTCGGGCCAACACTGCTGATATCTTCACCAAGGCACTTCAGCCTTGTGATCATCAGCGTTTCTGTACTGTTCTAGGACTTGTGCCTAGTTGGCCTCACTTGCTCACTTCTTGACTTTGCTTGTACTGTGATCTATATGCGTATACTTCCATGCTTACCCTTGCTAGGTTTTGATAAGTGTGCTACTTGTTCTGCTTTATAAAACTCTGCATGTGAACTGGTCTTGTGGCCATTTGCTTGTGCTCAGAGTGTGTGGTGACTTCGTGATCCACCCTGAGCTTGCTTTGCTTTTCTTTACTGGTCTTGTGACCACTTGTTCTCCCTCACTGTGCCTATGGTGTAGGCTGTAGTGGGGTAGCCTATAAGGGGTACAACCCAATTACGGTTTCCTACTTATACTCCTGCATGCTGCTAGTTCATCATTCTCAAGGAAGCAGCAGACTGGAAAGAACTTCGAGGCGTTGGTATTGGATGCGGAGTGGTGGAAGAAGGCGGATACCTTTGTCAAGGTGATGGAGCTGCCGTACAAGGTGATAGAAAAAGACGGATGGGCCGGCGAAGGGGATGATGGGGGTTTTTTACGACATGATGCTGCAGCTGACGGAGGAGTTGTCGGTGCTGTTGGAGAGCGTGCATTGCCGGCTCAAAGCGGCGGATAAGGAGGGGTTGCAGGAGCCTTTATTTCGACATTGGGACGAGAGTTTGGCCTGCCCCCTTCACGTGGTATGTCGGATTATGAACCCGGTCAACCAGGAGGAGGGGATGTACCACAAGGACATTGAGTGCACCAAGGTGATGAAGGCTTGGCTGTCACGCTCGAGGGCCTTTATCGACAAGTACTGGAAGAACGACGGCGAGATGAAGGGAACGATGAAGGGGCCGTAGAAGGTGATGCTGGCGTATATTGAGGGTAAGGGGTGCTTTGGGACAGAGGAGGCGATAGAGGGGCGTGTGGAGTTGAAGGACAGAAAGGGGGACATGGTGACGCGGTGGAAGGTGAACGGCTAGGGGTACGCCGACCTGGCTGGCCTTGCGTGCTGTGCGCTGTCACAGCCCGTTTCCGCTTCCCCGTGCGAGCGGGGATGGGCTGTGTGGGATGGGGTGCACACGGCGCGAAGGAACATGCTGGGGTTGGAGAAGGTGCGCGACCTTGTGTTCGTTGCACACAACTGGACTGTTGTGCACAGCCACCATAAGGGTGCGGCTGGTGCAGGGCCAAGTGGGGAAGTAAGGAAGGCAGGGGTAGTGGAGGGGAACATTCCCACCCCTCCCCTTCCCGAGGGGTGCAAGTTGTGGAAGTGGGGATGTGGAGGTGGACGAAGACGGCTTGTGCGTCGACGAGTACAAGCACCAGGAAGACATGGAGGAGGAGGAGGAGGAGGAGGAGGAGGAGGAGGAGGAGGAGGAGGAGGAGGAGGAGGAGGAGGAGGAGGAGGAGGAGGGGGAGGAGGAGGAGGAGGAGGAGAGCGAGGAGGATGCGGATGAGTGATTAGTGGCCTTGATGCGGTAGTAGTTTAGTATGCATGTTGCTGAGTGATTGGATATAATGTGACCTTGTGACATGTGTGACTCGCCTTGATATAAAAAATTGTGGGAAATGTTTGTTGTTGGGGAAAGTTTTGCATTGAATGTGTGGAACGTTCCCCCCCTCCCCTCCCCTTCCCATGTCCTATAACAATTGTTTTTGGCTGCCCGGGGTTTTTTTTTGCCCTACCGGGCATGTGTCTTTTGTAGCGTTTCCCAGGCCCACATTAAGCGTCTTGCGTCTAAGACGCTGCGTCTGGACGCACCCGTCTAAGACGCAGGACGCGTCTTTCGCAACTAAGCTTCGGAACACATTTGTTGTTTTAACACGAAAATTGATTTGTAACTTTTGATAGGGGCTATATTCTGTACTTTCGTGTACTGTCATGTGAGCTGATACAAAATTTGCCAAATTTACGGGAGATCCAGAAATGAACGCTTCTTGATCCAGAAATGGCAATCGTTTCTTTCGAGCATGAGCGATTTTTTCGGGAGGAAAGAGAAATCATTTCCAACTGTCTGCCCATTATCTTTGCTGATGGGTATCATGACATAACAGACTGAGCTGGTCATACACTAAACTTTTGTGTGTTAGACAGCGAGCACACACTGTTGAGTTTGGGCTGCGGGTGAGTGGGTGTGGGGAACAAGAGTCCATGTTCAAACGCTTTGAAACTCCTTCTGGAGGCTATACCATAAGTGAATTCGAGCTCGTTCACTATGATGCATGATTGCTAATGCATAGATATCCGCTACAACCGAATGTTTGCCACGGATTCGCGAGTCTTATTGCATCATCCAAATGGTGCAAAACTGTAAAAACTGTCAAATTTTATATCTGCTACAGTTTGTTTAGGGTGTAGTGGGGTAGTTACTTTGGGGTACAGTAAGTTTAGGGTTTCCTACTTGTACCCAACTCTTTCCTAGTTCAATCACTCTTGTTGATTATGACATGGTATCACGAGCCTAGGTTGCCACCTAGGACCGCTTACTACTACGGGCCCACTATTCCGCTAGAAGCGCCCTCGTGTGCCTTTCGCTGCTCGTGCGCCCTCGTGCGCCATTTTCTGCTAGTACGTCCTCGCGCCTCGCCCTTCGTTCTGCCCGCGCGCCGTCCTGCAGCCCTCGTGCTGCCTCCTGCTGCCCTAGGCCAGTGCGCCGCCCCTGCAAGCTAGTAAGGCCCTCGAGCCGCCCCTGTAGGCCCATCAGGCCCCCGAGCCGCCTCTGCAGGCCCGTCAGGCCCCCGAGCCGCCACCTACAGGCCCGTCAGGCCTGTGAGCCACCCATGCAGGCCCGTCAGGTCGGCGCGCTGCCCCTGCAGGACAATGCCGCCCGACCGCGCACCGCCTCTGCCCGTGCGCAGCCTCTGCCCGACCGCGCGCCGCCCCTGCAGGCCCTCGCCAACTGCGAACAGCCTCTGCAGGCCCGTCAGGCCAGTGCACGACCCCGTCAGGTCGCTGTCGCGGCCTCGTCAGGCCGCAGTCGCGGCCCCGCCTTGTCGCTGACGCGGCCGCGCCCTAATGCTGACGCGGCCGCGCCCTTCTGCTGACGCGGCCGCGCCCTGCTGCTGACGCAGCCGCGCCCAGCGGCTGACGCGTCGTCGCCCCCTGCCCGCCGCGTCGCCCTACCCGCCGCGTCGCCCTACCCGACGCGTCGCCCCTGCCAGCGGCGTCGCCCCTGCCCGCGGCGTCGCCCCTGCCCGCGGCGTCGCCCTGCCCGCCGCGTCGCCCTGCCCTACCTTGCGCCTGGCCCCTGGAGCAGCCGCCCCTGGCCCCTGGAGCAGCGGCACCTGCAGCCGCCCCTGGCCCCTGGAGCGGCCGCCCCTGCAGCAGCCGCCCCTGGCCAGTGGAGCAGCCGCCATTGCAGGAGCCGCCCCTGGCCCCTGGAGCAGCCACCCCTGGAACAGCCGCCCTTGGAGTAGCTGCCACTGCAGTAGCCGCCCCTGGCCCCTGGAACAGCCGCCTCTACAGCAGCGATCGTCGCGGCCCGGTCCCGCCCTGCAGCAACTGCCGCGGAGCTCCCTGCCGCGGTCGCGGCCCCGCCCTGCCGCTGTAGCGGCCCCGCAGTTGCCTCCGTCGTGCGCCTGCCCTTCCCACCACTGGTGAGCACTGCCCTGCCCGCGTCCGTGGACAGGGCGGAGAGCGCTACTTCCTACTGGTAGTTTACGACTACACGCATTACACCATGGTCTTCCCCTTGCGCACCAAGGGAGAGGTCCCTGCTGTCTTGATCCCTTGGATCCGCGCTACCCGTCTCCAGCTGGAGAGGCGCTTTCGCACGGACCTTCCAATCCTGCAACTGCACTCTGACAGAGGTGGTGAGTTTTCCTCCAACCTCTTGGAGGCCTTGTGTTAGGGGGAGGGCATTGAGCAAACGTTCACGCTTCCGGCCTCTCCTTAGCAGAATGGGGTTGCTGAGCGCCGCATTGGCTTGGTCATGGAGGTCGCTCGTACCTCCTTGGTCCATGCGGCTGCCCCCCATTTTCTGTGGCCGTTTGCGGTCCGGTACGCCGCGCATCAGCTCAACCTCTGGCCCCGTGTCTCCTTGCCGGAGACCTCGCCGACACTGCGTTGGACGGGAAAGGTTGGTGACGCGTATGTGTTCCGTGTCTGGGGATCTCGTGCCTTTGTCCGTGATACGTCCGCGGACAAGCTCTCCTCCCGCACCGTTCCTTGTGTCTTCTTGGGCTTTGTCGCTGACGCTCCTGGCTGGCAGTTTTACCACCCCACCTAGCGTCGTCTCTTCCCCTCTCTAGAGGTCACGTTTGACGAGTCGGTCCCCTTTTACCGTCTCTTCCTCTACCGCACTGCCATGCTCCCCCCTCCGCCGCTCTTCCTCACGCTAGGTGCTGCTTCGATAGACCCCCCGCCTCCCCATGGTCCTGCTCCCTCAGGTGTTTCCCAGGTAGACCCGGTCGAGCCTATCGAGGTAGCTGTTGACTCTAGCCCTGTGCGAGGTACTGAGCGTGCTGAGCCTGAACGTGCTGAGCCAGGTGGTGCTGGGTCTGGGGGTACTGAGACTGGGGGTGCAGAGCCTGGGGGTGCGGAGACTGGGGGTGCTAAGCCTGGGGGTGCGGAGACTGGGGGTGCTGAGCCTGGGGGTGCGGAGACTGGGGGTGCTGAGCCTGGGGGTGCAGAGACTGCGGGTGCTGAGCCTGGGTGTGCTGTGTCTGGGGGTGCTGAGCCTGGAGGTCCTGAGCTTGGGGGTACTGCGCCTGGGGGTGCTCTCTCTTCCCAGCAGTTGCGTGAGTGGTACTCTCGTGCTGTCGCCGCCGCCGTGGTGCTGTGGGAGCTGGAGGTGCCGCTGGAGCTGGAGCTGAGGGTGCTGGACCCACTGGAGTTGGTGTCGCTGCTGACCCTGGGGTTGGCGCTAGAGGTGCTGGAGCCACTGGTCCTCGAGGCGCTGTTACGCTGAGGCGATCACGGGTGAGTACTCCTCTCAGTGGCAGACAGCCATGGACGCAGAGATGGCATCTTGGAAGTCCACTGGCACTTACGTCGACGTGGTCCCCCCCCCTGGAGCGAACATCGTCAGTGGCATGTGGATTTTCAGGATGAAGCGGCCGCCAGGTTCTCCGCCTATCTTCAAGGCTCGTTACGTTGCTTGAGGCTTCAGTCAGCGAGAGGGAGTTGACTTCTTCCAGACCTTCTCCCCCACCCCGAAGATGACCACTCTTCGGGTGCTACTGCACGTTGCCGCTCAGCGTGACCACGAGCTTCACTCTCTTGACTTCAGTACAGCTTTCTTGCAGGGCAGCCTGCACGAGGAGATCTAGCTACGCCGCCCTCCTGGCTTCACTGGGTCGTTCCCTCCTGGTACCCAGTAGAGCCTCCGGCGGCCGGTCTACGGTCTCTGCCAGGCGCCACGTGAGTGGCACAACACATTGAGGACTACACTTGCGGCTCTTGGTTTCGCGCCTTCTACTGCTGACCCGTCGCTGTTTTTGCGCACCGACACTTCGCTGCCGCCATTCTACATCCTCGTGTACGTCGACGACTTAGTCTTTGCCACTGCTGACACTGAGGCTCTCGCCCTGGTGAAGTCGGAGCTACAGAAGAGACACACGTGCACAGACCTGGGTGAACTGCGCAGCTACCTTGGCTTGCAGATCACCCGGGACAGAGCACGCCGCACCATCACACTTACTCAGTCACACATGGTGCAGCAGGTCCTTCAGCGCTTCGGCTTCACCTGGTCCTCGGCACAGGCCACTCCTCTGGCTACAGGTCACTCGCTCTCAGCTCCACCTTCGGACGAGTCTGTAGAGCCAAGTGGTCCTTACCCAGAGCTAGTTGGATGCCTCATGTACCTGATGACTTGCACTCGTCCTGACCTCGAGCACCCTCTTGGCCTTGTGGCTCGCTACGTGGCTTCTGGTCGGCACCGAAAGGTGCACATAGATGCTGCTAAGAGGGTACTACGCTACTTGTGCAGTACATCAGGCATGGGGCTCGTGCTTGGAGGGAGGAGCTCATTTGTTCTCACTGGGCACTCATACGCTTCTTGGGTTGACGACTAGGCTACTCAGCGGTCGTCACAGGGTTACACCTTCAGCCTTGGCTCTGGTTCAGTTTCTTGGCGTTCTACACGCTCGTCTTCAGTTCTCAGCTCCAGTTGTGAGGCTGAGATCTACGCCACAGCCATGGCTGCACAGGAGTTACGCTGGCTCACCTACCTGCTGACTAACTTGGGAGAGTGGCCTCTTCTCCTCAAGTGCTGTACGTCGACAACAAGGCCATGATTGCCTTGTGTGAGGAGCACTGACTGGAGCACAGGACGAAGCGCATCGCTCTGCGTTACTTCCTGGCACGAGAGTTGCAGCAGCGTGGTTAGCTTCGTCTGCGTTACGTAGCCACTCGGGCCAACACTGCTGATATATTCACCAAGGCACTTCAGTCTGGTGATCATCAGCGTTTCTGCACTATGCTAGGGCTTGTGCCCACTTTTCCTCACTTGCTGTAGGCT